AATCATGAATGGGAATTATGTTTGATCAGATGGTTTCCTATATGTACTACTGTTTTTTTCTCTCTTAATCTTTTAATCTGTTAGCATGGTGACTTAAAATGACATCTTAGAGGCTGAAACATACCAAAGGCTTTGGACAGATGGCAAGCTTCCTCCTGCTTTCACAATATCTTCAGGGCACTAGTGAAAGGTATTAGAGTCTATTTTATCAGATGGGAAAGTTCTTGAAGGCATTTTGCTTCATGGAAGAGTTAAAGTTTCTCTCCCTCCTGTAGATTCTGGGCCACATGTCTTGTGCCCATTTGTGTTAGAAACCTATCTTCCTACTAAAGCATACATGACCCAGAGGGATCGGGTGGAGAGGGAGGTGGGAGGGGGGTTCAGGATGGGGAACACATGTAAATCCATGGCTGATTCATGTCAATGTATGGCAAAAACCACTACAATATTGCAAAGTAATTAACATCCAGCTAATAAAAAATAAATGAAAAATAAATAAATAAATAAATAAAAACAGCAACAAAAAAGAAAGCATACATGGAGCATGGAGAACTTTATAGGCCACTGCAGTATCAGCTCATCTTTAATTTAATACCAAACTTTAAAAGTATCTCTAAATTTCTAGTACTTGGAGTGTTTTTAACTTACCAAAAAAAAAGTTTATGTTGTGATATATTAATTTCATATTCCTATGTGTTTGCCTCAGGGCAAGCTAAGCCCATGCACCACAACAAATGAACCCACATGCTGCGCTACTGAAGCCAGTGTGCCTAGAGCCTGTGCTCCACAAGAGAAGCCCCCACAATGAGGAGCCTGCACACCACAACCAGAGAATAGCTCTTGCTCATTACAATTAGAGTGAGCCCTTACACAGCAATGGAGACCCAGTGCAGCTAAAAATAAAATAAATAAATAAATAAATAAATTGAAAGAAATGTGTATGTCAAATTTTTTAAAAGCATTACCTCTTTTTATTCTAATCAAAACTCAGTAAGTAAGATAGATATTGCCATCCTATGGGATAGAAAAACAAGTTTTTATTGAACCACCTGTTCTGTAAAACCAGATCTGTGTGTCTTCATAGCTGTATTCTTTTAATAAATCTATCTTGTAATATGAACATTTTATTTTATTTTCTGCCTAAAGTATCCAAGTGCTGTTATCAGTAACTCACTTTAAGTTGGGAGTTGGGAGTCATTATTCCTGAGTTATATCTTTTGCTAAATTTCATCAAGTATTTTCATGATTAAAATTAATTAAATTAAGAAGCTATATTCCTGGTGGTCTTTGATACCTAAAATTTCATCTCTTATCTTCCCATAAAGTAAAGGATTGGATGGGATGCAGATCATATTCCTGGATGTTCCTGATAACAGTCAGGGTCTTACAGGAGGATTGTAGCTTAATTCATAGTCCAGTTCTCCCATATCACTATCAGGTTAACTTTTGTTTGAGGTCTGCCAGAATGAGCCTGTGGTACTAAAGCTGGAAGCACTGGGAAATGGTCCTCAGAGGGGAGCTTTGCCCTTTCACTGCTCAGAGCTAGATTCTTTCTGCAAAGTCAAACAAAAAGGCTGGAGGTAAAGAATACAGAGCAGCAATGGATGAAAAGTACTTTTCAGTTAAGATTTTGTCTCTTCAGAAACTTGAAACAAAGTAACTTTTCATGATTTTTTAGAAAGATATGACACTTAAGCTGTATTTTTAATTACAGAACAGAACTATATAAAGCAAAGAATACCAAAACTAATTTAAGTTTTAGATAGAGAAAAGAAGAAAAACTTTTAATCTGGAAAACAATAAAAAATGAAAAATGTCAGTTTTTTAAAATAAACCTTAAGAGAAATAAAATAAATTCAATCAAGAATAGGGCACAACGGTCTGATTTATATTATAGCCATCTTAGTAGGTATGAAGATTGCTCAGATGATGGTAGAGTGAACTGGTACATAATGATTCAAGAATAAATCTAAATGCTGCCTCTTATACATGTCATCTGTGACTTTTAGCTAGCTTCAGTAATCTCAGCTAAATCAATTGTTCAGTGGTTTACTAACACCAGCATCAAATCTAAAGGGTCTTTGTAAGAATTAAATTGGATGATATATGCACGATGTTCTTGTTTACTCCACTGTAAACAACTGATAAATGTTTTTCTTACACCCTTTCCCTCTCCTTAGTGTAAACAAATACTTTTACAAATAAGACAGCATAGTATAATTGATAAAACACCTGATTTGAATTTAGAAGAACTGATAAATGACCTTGGGAAAGTCAGTTCACCTCTTTGACCTCAGATTTGGACAATTCCATAGACTGAAGAACCTGGTGGGGTAGCAAAGAGTCAGAAACAACTGAGTGACTAACACACACATATCTTACGGGAACTGTTGGGAATATCAGCTAAAAGAAATCATACTCTCTAAACTCTAATTCTATCCCCAACTCCTTCCCACCCACCATCATATAAAAGATGAAATATTATAGAATAGGTTACAGCAGAAGCCTAGAAACGTTTTTCTAAAATCTTTGTTATTTATTATCACTGGGTAAGGGTCATGAAGATCCATGAGTATTTTTCTATGAGCACCCATCCATACATACATGGTTTCTTTTCTTCAACAAATAGATTAAAGGTAAAAATAAAAAATGAAGATCTACATTAACAAGATGACAAGAAACCTTGAGGATTTGCAACCCAACTGCTGTGTAACCATAAGCAAATCACTTTGCCACTTGGTCTCTGTTCCAGTTATCTATTGCTCCAAAATAAACCATTTCAAACTTCATGGTACAAAATAAGAACAATCATTTATTATTATTTCTCATAATGCTGGAGATTCACTGTGCTCAACTAGATGGTTCTTGCCTGGGATCTCTCACATAACTGCAGTTAGATGAGCAGCATATTGAATTTGCTTTTAAGGCTTCTTCACTCACGTGTCTAGCAGTAATATATAAAGGTTGTTGGTCAGTACCAAAAGGGAGTCTGTTAGCTGAAACTCCTTCAGGTATTTTCTCCATGTGACCTGGGCTTCCTGCGAGTCTGGCAGCTGGGTTCCAAGGGTGAGCAGAGAGAGAGAAGTGAGAGCGAGAGAGAAGGAGCACCAGGTGGAAGTTTTTTTCATCATTTATGACAGTTTCAGAAGTCACAGAGTATCACTTCTGTCATACTTGATTAGATGCAGCAGTCACAAAAGCAAACCTAGTTTCAGGATGGGTCACAGCTTTCACCTTTTCATGGAAGAGTGACAAGATTCTCTGAGGCTCATTGACCCTAATAGTAAATATACTTACTACCCATCATATAATCATACATACATATTAATACCATAATAAGAGGATATCTTTAAAAAGTATGCAATTGACTCTACCTTACTCTTGTTAAGAGAGTAAGCAAATACTCACTGCACACCTATATACCTGGTATCTTTGCAATGCCAACTAGGTAATAGTAGATTTTCAATCCCTCATGGCATGTAAATTTAAAAGACTATGATTCATTTTCTTCACTAAAGATACAGCTCAAAAGCAGTGTTTATGCAGACCTCTCAGACAAAACAAAAGAGAACATGTTCATTTGTAGCTGTCAAATTAATTGCAAATTATTTTTCATTCAACTGAGAAAAAAAGAATCTCCTAATGACAGCAAAAATGTGCTACATTGCAAAGTCATGGTGAAAGAAAGGCAGGACTAGATAAATTGAACCAGGTGCCACATTCTGACAAATTTAGCAAAAAAATGGGCAGGCTAGTTGGATTAATATTCTTTCTGTTTTATATACTTAATTGACTATTTTATTTTGAATAACATAACAACACAGAGTTGTTCTCAAAATATTTGCCTAAGAACAAACATCACTGTCATTGAAAGAAAATATATAATCTACTCATTGAACATAACAATCATCCATAGGTGGTACTTTGTATGACTGAAGGAAATATCATTATTCATGTAATACTCTTTTTTAATATGACAACTTTCATTTTGTGTCTGCTATTACAGAACCTGGAAGCTGGTCCTAGAATGGAAAAGGCACTGCTGTCATGCTTTTTCCCTAAACAATTTTATATATATGACCTTCACATATATACATATATATGTATACACACATATACATATATATACATATTATGTATAGTTGCTTTATATATATAAAGTTTATATATATAGTTTATATATATAGTTTATATATATAGTTACTATATATATAAGGTAACTATACATAATATATTCTTCATCTTGACTTGAGTTCATGTATTCATGCTATATTATATAAGGCAATCAATGTTGACTTGATCAGGTGGCCTAAGTTGATGTTTTCACGTTTTCAGTAAGTATAAACTCATTAGCCATATCAACTAATACTCCTGTAGAAACAGTGCTACAGTAACTGATTAATTATCTTTACTAACGATTTAATTGTTGAAAATTGTATCAGTCAGGCTGTATTAGGGTACTTTCCAGCAAAATAAGGAATGCCCCAGATCTCAGTGGTTTAAGGTAAGAAATACTTCTAAATGCCAATGACATGTCTAGTGTAGAGTAGCTGGACTCTATGTATATTTTAGTTGCTCAGAGATTTAGGCAAAATTTGGTGGTTGTTGTGTCAGATGAAAAAAAAAAAAAAGAAGCTTTGGAGGATCTCACACTTCCAAAGAAGGTTCAGACACATTGGCCAGTTCAGGTCAGTCCTGTCCAACCCAAAAGAAACCAGAAAATGGCTCTGTGTACCCAAAATGGGGAAGAACTAGAAACATTTGGTGAACACTGTTAATGAGTAGCATATCAAAAACTTAAAGATTAAGATCAAATAAATTAGATCAAAAGAGCCAGGGAAAGGAGAGCAGAGATGAATGACTGAAGCAGAGAATCAGAAGGAAATTTCTAGGTAAATTCATCAGATAACTTCCACACCAACAAGCGGGTGTGTAAGGAAATCGCCATTATTCCCAGCAAGAAGCTCCGCAATAAGATCGCAGGCTAGCTCACACATCTGATGAAGCGGATTCAGAGAGGCCCGGTGAGAGGTATCTCCATCAAGCTGCAGGAGGAGGAGAGAGAGAGGAGAGACAATTACGTCCCTGAGGTCTCAGCCCTGGATCAGGAAATCATTGAAGTAGATCCTGACACTAAGGAAATGCTGAAGCTCTTGGACTTTGGCAGTCTGTCCAACCTGCAGGTCACTCAGCCTGCAGTTGGGATGAACTTTGAAACACCACGTGGAGCTGTTTGAGTCTTTCTGCTGTGCTGTAATATTTTCAATAAACCTCGGACAAAAACAACAACAACAACAACAACAAAAAGAAGCCCTATCCAAAGCTCTGTGCAGTATAATAAGTATGTTATGTACTCTTTATAGCATAGGTAGAGTAGAACATTTGGAGCATTGGGGATGGACCAAGATAAGCATTGAAAAGATAGCTAACCAGGTAGTGTGTCAGTCTCCTATAGGGCCATATCGTTCCCCACATTTGTAAAACAAATACCAAAATGATTCTATAATCAATAAAATATAAGCCATTACATTTTCATTGTGGAAATAATTTTTCAATGTTTCATATTTAACTAGTTTGCAACCTACTATTAGATACCATATTTGTTTTGCTTTTGTTTTTGGACTTAAGTAAAGAGAGTTGAGGTAGTAATCATATTAGACACAGCAAGACACTCCTATTTCATTTACTTTTCCGTCTTATTTGTGTTTGTTTTCCATTCCCTTCCTCCACAGGAAAACTATTCTAATCTACCTAATAGAATCCTTTTTGTTTGTATGATTTTGCAAAAGGGACACTTTTGTTCTCTGTGGATGAATTCTGGATTTATGAAAAATTTTACCATACTTTATTTTGTCTCTTTTTTCACTCAGTGCTATGTTTTCTGAACCATCCATGTATCTATCTACATTTAGTGGAGAACTTACTACTGCATAGTATTACAGGCATGCCATGTTTTACCTATCAACTCACCCAGCAATAAATACGGGGATTGCCCCCTATCTCCCCACCCCCAAACATCACTACAATGGACATCCTTGCATGTATTTCCTTATGGACCTACGTAAGCATTCTTTTGAATACACACACATGCAAGTGAGACTGCTAGGTCAAAATGGGAATATATACTTAATTTGACCAACTGCTGATCAAACTAACTGCACATTTTTTGGTGGAATGGTTATACTTTAGTATATCTAATCTTCTCTCTTCTACCTTATTTTCTCCTTTCTCTCTCATATATATATATATAGTGTGTGTGTGTGTGTGAGAGAGAGAGCGCATCTGTTATTTAGGTCCCCACATGCATGTGAAAGTATCCAGTATATTGACTGTAATGTTTTATTTTATTTTATTTTATTTGCAATACATGCTCATTGATTTTATTTTATTTTTTAGAATTACTTTTTTGTCCATTTATTTTTATTAGTTGGAGGCTAATTACTTTACAATATTGTAGTGGCTTTTGCCATACATTGACATGAATCAGACATGGATTTACATGTATTCCCCATCTTGATTCCCCCTCGACTGTAATGTTTTAGAAGCAGTATAGCCCTGTTGTGGGGGCTAGAGTCATATTGCCTCCATTTAAATTTCCATTCTGTCAATTACTGCTTGTATGACTTTGGGAAGTTACTTACTTAGTCTGTGTTTTAGTTTCTTCATCTGTAAAGTAATAACACCCAGCAGATAGGATGGTTGAGGAGGTTAAAGGAATACTTAGCAGAGCTTCTGGTCCATAGTAAGCACTCAAAGTCACCTATTAATATTATTATCTCTACATACTAATAAAGCTCTGATTGTGATACTGAGTATGTTATTATTTTTCTGTTTCAACTCCAAGAAGTTTATGAGATATTCTTGCCCCTGCTAGCTACATACAATTGGTTAATGCAGAGATTGCAAGCTCACCAAGTACTCTAGAATGTTTGGGCTTGCTGGCTGAGGAAAGAACTTTACAGACGTGTCTACTTTTAAGCCAGGTAAATAGTATATTCTATTATAGGCCTGACTGGAAGGTGTTCCCCCAATTACCTAAATGTCCTATCATCTATGGACTTTCCTGAACTTTCACTACAAATATCCTAGATTGTGAAAATGCAAATAAATACCTTCTGAGGATCAAATGACATATATAACTCTGAGACTATAAGACTGCTAAAGACATTTCACCACTGGACTGGCCTTATACTTCCTTCATGAATAACACATTAAGTAGAATCTTAGTTTCCATTAAGCACTAGGGACAATGAAGATAGTCAATAAATGCCAGGCATTTGAATACTGTTAATTGAAAGATTGAGTTCACCTCTAAGAACTACCATGTTAAAAATTGTCTGGGTCACTGAGGAGAACTAAGATTCAAGATTGCATCTGGATCCCATGTCTATTCTTTAATATTTAAAGAATTTACACTGAAGACAACAGAGTATTGTGGCTAGAGCTCTTATTCTTGAGCAGTGATTTTTCAGTTGATGGTTTGCTCACCAGGAAACATTTGGAAATGCCTGGAGATACTTTCAGTTGCCACAGTTGGGAGAGGCTATTGGCATATAATGGATACAGGCCAGAGAGGCTGCTCAACATCCTGTCATGTACAAAACAGCATCCACAGCAAAGAATTTTCTGGCCTTAAATGTCAGTAGTGCTAAAGATGAGAAACTTGGTTCTAGAGTCTGAGATGCCTGAGATTAAAACCTAGTTACACTATTTATGAATATTGTGTGATCATTGATGATTACTCAACTTTCTTCACCTATACAGTTTGGTTCTTCACTGTAATGTTTTATCTGGCATACTGATGGTATTCAGTGAATGCTAGTTTCTGTTTTATTATTATTATTAAAGTAATTCAAGCATATAAATAATCTGTGAAGGCCATTAATTAAATATGCACAATGAAATGTATAATGTTTTAACTACTATATGGGAATTATGAGAATCATTACTCTTTTCCTTTATCATCCTAACATATTCAATACATCAATGTTTTGGGTATTATACTGTCAAACTTCCAGAGGACTTTAGTACTCTTGCTCTGAAATGACAAACAATCCTAACATTGAACAAAGATAAAAACTGGTCATAACATAGCATTGATGCCCTGGAAAACTTAGAAGTGAAAGGGTCAAAGTTTCCCATTAGCTTTCTCTGCAAATATGATCAGATTCTTGTTTTCATATTCAAATTTTTCTCATGAAAAGGAACTTTAAAATATGAACCTAAAACTATGGTTTCTCTTATCTTTTTGATCAGAAATATTCCAGCATTTTTTGTGGAATAATTTCTTTCAGAATCACCAGTTAGTTTCATCTGCCATGTCACCTTACATTTTATCACAATAGCAAAGATCAATATGACAGAAGTAACCCAATCAAAATCACTTACTCTAAGGAGATTCCTCAAACCACAAGATCAATCCATCTTTTTTATTCCAATATGTGGCTCTGCTTCATTTTTTTAAGGCAGCACTCTATTTCATTTACTATAATTTACAGAGCTGCCTCAGAAGTAATGAATGGCCAGACAAGCATTTTTCAAAAGGTTCAATTGTCTTGAATTGGAAAGCAATTTTTTTCAAGGAATATGAAAGATCAGTGCCTTTCATTCGCTTATCACCTCTTTTAATTCCTGTTTATTGAGGGCCTACAAGGAGTTAAAGATGCTGGTTTAAGAGAAACAGCTGAGCTTCAAGGCACTCATTACCAAGTGAGGGAGGAAGGTACACAATTGCAATATGGTAAGTTTAATATAAACATGTCACAGTGAAAATGGTAAGGACTGGGTGCTGTGGTTGCACAGGACATCTAGATTTAAGGAGTCAGGTAAAGATTCCTGGAGGATACTGGCCAATCAGCATTCACAAATGTGTAGCTTTCACTCCCCAAGTGCTTCTTAAGATGTCTCTTATCATCATCACCAGCAAACAGTATATAGCTCTATGCAATTGGCCCATCAGTAACATATGCCTCAGTTGCTCCCTTCCTACTTCTTGAGGTACTTTCTTCACTTGCCTTTGAGAACACTAACTTGTCTCTCTTTTTTTTTTTCCTCTCATTTCACTTAACTGCTCCTTCTCAAGATCATTTGCAGGTTTCTCTTTATCTCCACAACCCAGAATGTAATTGAAGTGCCTCAGAATTCAGTTCTTAGATATCTTCTCTTTCTCACTCCCTCTGTTGCCCCATTCACTGCCATACCATTGAATAACATCTATATGCTAATGATACTAAAACTCATGTGTCTAATCTGCATCTCTCCCTGATGCAACAATTACCAATTCACCATGTCCACCCAGATGTCTTAATAGGCATTTTGAATTAGCTATGTCCCAAACTAAACTCATAGTATCACTGTTCCTCCCCCCACCCCCAACCTTCTCCTTTTGATGTGTTCTCCAACTCAGAAAATGGCAACTTCATTCTTCAGTTACTCAGGCCCAAAACCTTGGAGTCATCCTTGACTCTGGTCTCTTTCCCACAGATGATCTGTTACAAAATCCTTCCTGCTATATCTTCAAAATAGATCACACCTCAAAATGTATCCACAAATGATCACTTCTTCTTACCACCTCCATTGTATCACCTTGTCCCAGCTCCTATCAACTCTGGCCTGGATAATTGCAACAGCTTTCTGATTGGGCTCTGATGTCATCCTTACTCCCTTACAGACCAATTTTACCACAATGTGATAGACAGAAGTCTAAGTTGGTCCCCAAGATCCCATGCCTTATATAAAACCCTCTCACTCTGTGTATAGGAATAGTCTCTCCTTTGATTAAATAATGTTCTACAAGATTCCATTAGAGTGTACTGAAGTGGAGCTTAAAAGTCAAAGATAAGAGTTTCTGCTGTCTTGGAAGATAGTAAATAGCCCTGGTGTGAAATGCCTGTGAAGGTGTCACTTGAAAAGGAACGTGAATGGTCTTTAGCTCCTGAGAGTGTTTCCTGGCTCCAACCTGTATACTTCAGAATAATCTCTCCATCTCAAAATCCCTAAGTTAATTATATCTGCAAAGGACATTTTGGCATGTAGGGTAATATATCCACAGCTTCCGGGGATTCAGATTGCACCAGGGAAACCCATGTAATATAGTATTTTACTAAGTTATCATCTCTCTCTGCCACTGAAATATAAACCACTAAAATGTACCAGAATGGGTGAATTTAATTCAGATGAACATTATATCTACTACTGAGGGCAAGAATCCCTTAGAAGAAATGGAGTAGCCCTTATT